GTTCACATGAAGCATCAAGATATAAACCCTTTGTCGAACTACTTTCCTGGGAAAGAAAAACCTCAGACGCTGTGGGACTCACATCCAGTACCAGGCAGTTGATTTCTGCAAGTAAAGAAGACATAACAGCCCGGGAAATTTCACTCACCGAGTATTTCACTTACTGATCGTGGACTGCTCACAGAGCCAGGTTTCAGTTGTTGGTTTCTATATACAAAGAAATCATGGTGTATTGTCCTCCCAGTCACCATATGTTGACAGTCTTTATGTTACGACACAGCTAGGAGAAAAGGGAAACAACATAAAACCAGATGTTATTCGTAAATCAAATTTATTGCATAACCCGGAGGCTAAATAAGGAAACAAAAATACAAACAAGGTGAGAGGATAACTAAAGTAGGGGAACAGAAGCCAACAAAGAGCCCAACTGTGTGATTCTAACCAACCCCAAAACACAAGCAGCACCCCTGTTCCTAATGTGTCCAACAGTCTGTTTCTAAGGGTGTGATGCACAATCAGAATTTTAAACTTAGCCCAGTCCCCAACAATCACCAGCATCTCAAACCAAATCACACATTACACATAAATGTTCACAAAGGCGGTAAAGAGGCGCGCTGCCTATCATGTCAGCCGCAATTAATGATGTGCTGGCCGGCTTCTTAAGCTCATTTCCTCTGAATGCTTGAACGGCTACAGCTGTGGCGAGGACTCGCAGGATCATTGTCGCACCAATAGGAGAAGCCGGCCGTGGAGTTGGAGGCGCTTCCTCTCTGCTTCGACCAATCCCGTCACGGAGTCCGCGCAGCCTCATTAGCATACAGACAAAACACACTGTAAGAACCAGGTGACTGCGCTGCGCTCATTTGAACATATTTTTATGTCGTGCAGAAAGTTGAACGAGAAAGAGCTGAACTGATGACACAGTTACGGACGATTGCCCCGGTAGAGCATAACATTAAAACAGTGGCGATTGCTCTAAGACTGCAAGGGAAGCTCAGCTTCCCCTAAAATGTCAACAAAATAAGTGGTCAAATATGTACTGTTGTGTGTACATTTCATTGACTAAATATGCGCTAGAACCCGTACATCTTTTGTTCAGAATCAGCTACTTATCACAGGTAACCGACAAGACTTCCTTCTCATTCATCACCGCAGCGTCACAGTGCTTTCCACAGTGTGGACGCCGAGCGTCTACTGACTTCAACGGGGAAGCACAGAGTGGGTTGTTCCACCGCAGCGAAACTAGACGGTCATTGGATAAATGCTGGATAAATGCTGGGCTTTGTCCCGCCCACCGGACGCTTAGTGTCTCTGGGGGTCTATGGAACAGTGGGCTGGCCCGGACGCTCGGCTTCTGCATGATGATTGGATGATCTGTCTGAGGCTGAGTCCCTTTTTGATTGACAGCGAAATGAGCGAATCAGCGATATTGAAGTATAAGCATCCACCGGAGCATTTTTCAAGTTTTTCATTCCGTCTCTGGGGGTCTATGGAACAGTGGGCTGGCCCGGACGCTCGGCTTCTGCATGATGATTGGATGATCTGTCTGAGGCTGAGTCCCTTTTTGATTGACAGCGAAATGAGCGAATCAGCGATATTGAAGTATAAGCATCCACCGGAGCATTTTTCAAGTTTTTCATTCCGTTGTTCGGAGTTGATCTGGAGACGTTACTGATCCTCACCTACTTTATCTTTGTTAAAAACGACTAGCGTTGTGTTTGGCGACTCTCTTCTGTCACTCTGCGAATTTACATATAAATAAACGGACACATTTTATGATGTAGGCCGAAAATGAGCTTCCCCTCCTTATAAGACCGGCAGCCGCCACTGGCTCCACGGCAGTACTGACAGTTAGCCAGCTAGCAATAGCAACATTTTCCAGAACACATTCATAATATGCTAACAGCAAGCTAGCTAACGTTGTCATGGCTACTGTAGCCAGTGACTCGTGAAAACACACTGCCTTAGCAGCTCGTAGGGTTTGTCCTCTTGGTAAAGTCAGACCGGTATTGGCTCCTGTATCCGGCGCTGTGGCAGGAGCAACGTCACTGACGGAGCCAGTAAAAACTTTAAATACTTTATGGGTGTTTTGAGGGGGCACCAGGCGACCGGGATTTGAGCCAGTAGTCCCCAATAATAAGTTTATAGAAAAAAAAAAAACAGACGTGGTTTCTTAAGTGGAGGAAATTCTGGAAGGTTGCTCTCACCTGTACACTGTTTACTGCAAAGTGGGCGGAGGCTGTGTGTTTATACAGGTGCTAATGTCCTTGGCCCATGGTTTGCACCATGCATGTCCAACCAGACCAAAATAAAGAGCAGAGAAACTGAAATTAACACACTTGAAGGGGTTGTGACTAAGGTCTCTGCTCAGGATGCCATGACAACACTATATCTTTATTTTCCTAGCTATATTCTTGTTTAAAATCTTGTTTACAGAACCTTTTTCAGATATTTAATATAAAAATATCAGAATGACTCGAGCCCCACCCGTGGACCTTTGCTGCATGTCATCCCCTGACTCTGACTCTGCTATCAGGCAAAAATTAACTATTTAAGAAAAAGAACATTTTCTGTGTATAACTGTAGAATATAAACTCCTACTCGTGTCATTAAACCCCTCAGATTCTCAGGACTATTACAGAGGTGAAAGAACATACACAGACATCTTGGTGACACACACATTTTGCTGTTTTTAATATTCCTGTCATTTAAATCATGTCAGAACAACAGCAATGATTAAAAACGTGACACAGGAAGAAACTCAGGATTAGCTTTTTATTGTTTAAAGTCAGTTCTGCAGAAAAAAATAAACAGACTGTAGTTACTACGTGATGACTGGAAGAACAGTTCCAACTCAATTCTCTAATAAATTTAGGTTAAACTAGCTTTGTTACAATAGAATTATTTGTTAGACATACTAAAAGAAAAAAAAAGCTTGGGGAGGTGAGTTGTGTGCGTAGCTTATAACCGACCTCAAAAATAAAATAAAATAAAATTTAAAGAAGGAGGAACAAAAATATATAAATAAATGCTTTAAAGGAATACTAAAGGCTGTGGTGACGTAAACTCAGACCATGCGATCAGTGGTTCATCCCCAAATGTGAGAATAACTAATGTGATTAATAAACCAAGCAGGGTCGTGTAAAGACAAGTGAGAATTCATGAAAAGGTGAAACGAGAAGAAGGAAAACTTCTGAAAAAATAACGGCCAAACTGATAAAGAACAGAGTCTTAAGGATTATTTTATTTTTTCTGATGTGGCTGAAGCTGATTACCTGATAGTTCCTCTACAGAAAATCAATCATCAGTTATTTTCATAACTGATTAATTTGCTGGTTAAACTGAAAATGTTTCAGATTTGACCAACTGGTCGTGCATCGTGTTATTTAACTTAATTCAAGAGGTTTGTAAAGTTAAAATGACCTGCATGTGAAAAGGGAGACTTATTTCTCAAAGTGATGGCTTCTGTCTCCTTTTTTACAAACAGAAAAATACGATTTTAAGCCTCTGTACAAGATAAAAATCCTTGTTCTGTCACCTCAAACACAAAAAACCTGCATCTAAAAGTAACAAAGAAAAAAAAAAAGAAAGAAGAAGAAGAAGCATCAACCAGCCAGCTGGTTGCCAACATTACAATTCTTCTTCGGTCCTTTTTTCTGCCTCCTTGGTGTCTGTTCTTCTGCCTGACTCGAAGTAAACATCCTTGTAAACACCAAAGGGCCTGAAACAAACAAAAAAACAAAACAAAAACAGCAGGCCGTTGCCCCACCAGGGGGCAACAAAGACTTTTACAGTCACAGCCACTGCAGAAATCCCCCTTCATGTAGTGAAGTCTTCCTTCAACCAGAACAGTTTGTACCACAGAGCTAATGTTTTATAACTGACCACATGTTGTTTTAACTTCTGATGACCGAGGAGAGAAGATAATTATACATATCATTTTGATTAATCCTTCATGCAGACGTGGCGACGGTGCAGCAGCAGCAGCAGCAGCAGCAGCAGCTCAGTAATCAAACATATAGAGAGTAAAAACAGTGGGATTTCCTAACTGGTCACTCCTGAAGGTTTTAACACGACTGAGACAAACAAACAGAGGAAACAACATTTCTCTCCTCACCGTCACCAGCACTGCTCACGGTGCTTTAGGCTCATTTAAGAGAAACTTTACAGGCACAAAGTGAAGAGGAGGTTCGACCGCAGCTCCCCGATCAACAGGGAACAACTTCAAACACGAAGAACAAAAAGAAAAGAAAAAAACTAAAGTGAGTCAGAGTCGATCAGTGGTTTTTTACAAACTCTCGATCACATTCAGTGTTGATGTGCTGCCCTGAGACGCAGTTCCAAATGCACTTAGGAGTTATTTTATCCTGTTTTGCTGCTGGGCTTTGGTTTACAAGTTTTTGAAGGTGGAAACTTTTTCCAACTAAATCACAACAAGAACGAAACCATTCCAAAAATGATCATTTCATGTGAACTGAACTCCAAACCGGGAGGATTCTTGCAAACCATTTCAGACAGTTTGCAGCGACAGAAATTAGTCAGAATTGAGGTGAAGGGAAAAAAATAATAAAAAAATCAACTGAAACTACGATGAAACTGCTGCTGAGAGTCTGTGGCTGCAAATTACTCTCACCTCCAGAAAAGCAGAAGTTCAGGGACTTCAATGATGGGTGTCATTCCTCATATTAACACTAGAATAAATCAAGTGTATAATGAATTGGTTTGTTACCGCGAGTGAACTTAAACATGAAAACCATCCTCATCCATTCATCCCCAGGACATCATGAAGTAGCTTCAGTCCAGCCTCACTAACTTCCTGTCACCAACAGTATTAATAACAGCTGAGAATTTCTCTCCCTGTCTGTATCTGGCTCTAATATAGTTCTATTACTCACACACACGACAGTTTTCCAGAGATGAATGAATGTTTTCCACACATGGTCTCTGCACACTAACATCATTTATAACTTGAAGCATTGGTTATTTTTAAACAGCATGTTTCCTCTCTCTTACTGTGGGTAAAGGTGGTCGTTAGTGCGGCGTCAGTTATAACGACGAGCTGGGGACACATGGATGATGTTGGTGTCTGTATCTCTATCAGTTAAACAGGCGAACTGCAGCACAGACGCAGATAAACACACCACAGGGGCGTCTCAGGGAAACGTTTTTTTTTCTTTTTGTGCATCTGAATCACAACAACAACAACAACACAGACGAACGGAGCGGAGGCGAGCACTGCCACACATTTCACATAAAGTGCAAACTGACGAGGTTTTTCCCCTCACGGCGTCAGACCAGCTGAAGCTCCAGGAAAACCGGCGACACGGACGATCCGCAGGTCGGCGCTCCGCTTAATGGCTCTCTATCACCACAGGCTCGTAGCCGCCCGCAGACACCCTGCAAGGATCCAAACAGACAGGCAAACGGTCAGAGTGCGGACTAGTTACCTTCACCAAGGAGGTTGTTTGTTTGTCAGCAGGATTACACAAAAAGTACCGAAACTGACTTTCACCAAACTCGGCGGAGGGATGGGGCGCGGCCCAGAGAAGAACCGGTTACATTTTGGTTCCAATCCAGATAAAAGGGGCAGATCCATGTTATGATGAGATCTGTGAGTTTGCACAGTTCAGTGCAGATCCAGATAATAATGTGGATCTGGTGGAGGTATGTGATTTTTAGTTTGAAGCTGTGAGGTGGCGACTCTTTGCTGCTTTTTTACTCTTATTTAAATGCTCTTTGTTAAATGTTCTGCGTGGAGCCTGACGAAGGTCTCAAGATGAAACGTGTCGGTCTGACACAGTGTATAAGACACTTTCTCTGTAGATTTTGCAGATATGTGAAGTTGGGGCCAAAAACACATTCTGTTCTTCTGCTTCATGAAAAGTTTAACTGAAGTTAACTAATTCCAACGTCACAGATTAAAATGTCTTAGAAACTTCTCACACTGCTCCTGCAGCTTCCTCTTCTTCTATTCATATGATTGATTTTAGTGTCACTGTTAAAATTGTTCTCCAATTAAATCTAGTGTAACTGCTGCGAAGAGTCGCCTTACCAGCCTACAGAGCAGCACTGTGGGTTTAGGCATTTAAGAAGTTTAGATTCTTATCCGTCATGAAACACCTGATCAGGCCCAGATTCGAGACATGTGTCTGCGGACAGTTTAAGTGAAAGTGACCAAAAGGAAAAGAAGAAGAGAGAGGTCCACACAGACAGGGACACAGGGTAGAGAAACGAGGAGGAGAGGATGTGATAGAGGAACAGAGAGCGTCTGGGAGCCAAGCGTCTCACCTGTTTCCGAGCCTGATGCCGCTGAGCGCGGTGGTTCCATCTCTGCTGACGAACAGACGCAGGTTACTGTCTGAAAGGCAGAAACACAGGGACAGAGTTCAGGGCTCCATCACCATTTTAAAAATCTAAATCAAAGCTTTTTCAGACCTTTTTTTAAGACCTCAACGAATGAAAATGAAGTCTGAACAATGTCCCAATGATTTCTTTTACTCTGACTTTTGTTTTTATTCTATAAACAACAATTTAAAACGGAGGCAGAGTGGAAAACTCAGTCCATGCTCAGAAACCCAGCAATAAAAGATGCTAAACATTTTCCAAATCCTTTCATATTAATTTAAGAGGGAAAACCATGTTTTTAGTGTTTTCTAGTCCAGACTTTTTAGCCCTCATCACTTTGCACAATGACTTTTTCTTTTCTCACTAAAGTACCTGTGGACCCGTAGACTGTAGTTTTAGCAGGTTAGCGCCCCCTAGCATGTTAAAAATAAATTTGTCTGTTAACAAAGCAACAACAGCCCAATTATTTATTTTTATTTATTATCATTATTATTATTTCTACCAGTCTTAAACACTATCAGCAAATTTAAAACCTACAAGAAATCCACGGTAAATATGAGACATTTAAACCTTCTCTTCCTTTGTTTTAATGTCAGACTTTTTAAGACTTTTCAACGACCTGCAGGAACCGTGGAGTCGGCAGCGGCTGACAGAAACCAGGAAGCATCAACACACGGGCAATAAAAGGTGACGGAGCACAGAGCTGGGGAAGTGAAGGAGAGCTCAGCCCAAAGATGGTGCAGCAGTCACAGACGCAGCTTTCAGACATCAATAACACGGCTTGTTATTGATGTCTGAAAGCTGCGTGTAAAACCTTCACACAAGGAGATTCACTGTAAACAGAGGAGACCATGTTGAGGAGCGATGACCTCCGTCTCGCACCAGCGATATCATCACTGCTGGTGTCCATTAAAGCCCCGCTACAGACGCCTCCCTCTGACACAAACTCTCGGCTCTTATTTGCGTCATGTGCAAAGTTTTTTCGGCTTCTCTTCTGAGCTGCTGGTCAGTCCCACGTTCCTCTGGGAGAAAACTGCCCCCCCCACTACTTACTGGCGTCCATTTTCCAAAATAACGACAGTCAGTTTAAACCCACTTCACACAGTGACCGACCAGCTGTTTGGAGGTGAGACAAGGACGCAGGGTGCGCCATTATCTCCGCTTTTAAAATCACATTGTGTCTCCTCCTTCCCTAAAACCTTTCCGCCCAACTGTAAACACTTGAATGTCGTATGAACTGGTTCTGATCAGGCATGACCTTGTGTTTCCTTATTGCTGAATCTGTTTTCCTGTTTCTTGTCTGCTTTGCACGGTTCTTGTTTTATTTATCCATATTGTTACTTGCCTATATCCCTGGACTCTTTCTGGGAACGTAACAGGAATGTGGAGCTGCTGATGTTATGACACTTTATAAACACCTCGTACAAAAGCTGCAGCCTGCAACTTTCCACACAAAGAAAACAGAACGTGTAGTCTGACATTTGTGAGGCTGCTTCACCTGCTTGTTGTCGTCATGAACGGACTCTTAAACTAAAATGGACACAGATTTATTCACGTGTGAAAGAATCTCTTTTCATACTGTGATTTATGACCTAACTGCAGATTTAACATCCTGGCTGTGTTTCAGCAGCCCCGTGACAAAGTCCACTCTCTTGTAACTAAAACCCTTCGGTATTTTTGCTCTAGCTGCGTTTGTTTTCTTCTTGTTCTGAGCTGTGAAATAATCACTGCTGAGGTTGTTCTTCTAAGTCTTGTTCATGTTGAGCTGCGTCACCTGCGAGCCGCTTCTCTGCAGCGATCTTCACTCTCACTTTACCTTCAGTGTTGTTGATATCTGCAAAGTTTTGGCTTTGGACAATTTTCTCCACGATGTCGTCGGCGTCCATGCGGGTGTCATTAACCCAGGAGGGGTGACTCTCCACCGAGTCCTGCTTCCTCCTGAAATACACACAACAGTAGATGTAGTCAGAACAGGACTGAACTAGGACGTTACACGTGTTGAATGTAAACGCTCACGATCCTATGACAGGGGCACTGACGACATGTGTCTGTACCTGGGGAGCCTGTTCGGGGGTAAGACAGGCCGCGGGGGTCGAGGAGGTCTCTCAGGACGTCCGGCGTCCTTGTCGCCCTCTGCGGGTGTGTCGGCGGTGAAGCCCAGGCCCCCGGAGGCGCTGCTTCCTGTCGAGGTGTTCCTGCGATGCGTGAGGTCCGACAGGCTGGAGGAGCAGGAGTGCTCGGTGCTGTAGCCTGCAGGAGGAGCAGGGACACGAGAGGGAGATCAGAGACCAGGTCCAGAACTGGAGAACCGATGAATCTGGTTCTCTCGGGTCAGGGTCAGAGTTCAGTGTCAACCACATGAATCCATGGACCCAACCTGGCTTGCGTCATCCTCCAGGCTGTTTCACTTTGGGCTCTTAATACCAACCAGGCACAACCACTACATTCTCTCCCGACCTCGACCTATTAACCTCTAGATTATTGAGAATTATTTTGGCGGAGCGTTTTTCTATTTCGACAGGCGCTTCAGCAGGTGACGCTACTCAGCCAATCATTCCAACACTGGAGAATTAAGTGCAGTGTAAATGTGCAGCAGCAAACACGTTTCTGTCAAGGAATTTATCCGAGAATTTGGATTAAAATAATAAAAAAAATAAACAAATAAATAAAGTGTTCAGTTTCCTAAAAGAGGCTTTTCTGGATTATTGAAAGACATGACAGGGGGGGTCGGTGAACGTCGTACCTGAGATCTTGCTGTGCTGGCTGGCGTAGCTGGAGTTACGAGAGTGACCGGACTGGAAGACTTCCGCAGAACCGGACTGGTTCTGGTTCACCTCTGATTCGTCGAGGAGACCTGACGGCAACAAAAGAAGAAGAAAACACCACTGTCACCACCTCACATGTTTTCACGTTGTCTTGAAGTGTGTTCCTCTGGGAGATCAGACAGTGTTCTGTTAGAACTCGGAGGTTTCTGATCCACAAACGCCGTAATTTTCCCTCCAACCAGTCGGTCAAAGTTAACGGCTTTCCAAAACTAATTTTTTGTTTGTCGTGAAACCTTATTCGCTCTTGGATGTTCGTGCCCCCCCCCCACATGGAGAAGCTGTTTTCTTTTTTTCTTTCGGACCAACTCCTGAACCAGATGTTCCGCTGCTGTGAACGACCTCAGCCTTTCAAGTCGTTTTCCAAGTTGGAACAAAAAACAGGTTTCGTTTTTCCTTTTAATTTAAACTGAACAAATCCTAAACATTGTCAGCTAGTTTTCCATGTGAGTTTTTTTTTTTTAAAGAACTTGTTCCAGGAAGTTTTGGCTCATGTTATGAAACACATCTGGCTGAGCTGGAGTCCAGTCTCAAGACCGCTTCATCTCCTTTTAATCTCAAGTCTTTCAGACGTCATTTTACTGGGATTTATTTTTCATATCAGTTCTAAACACAGGAAAAGTGATTTAAGAAAGCTTTGGTTGGACGTTGAAGAGTTTAGTAGCAGTTGAGTTCTGGCAGTTGAATAGTCTGAAACACTGAGGCATGAATGAGACAAATGGGACGATATTTGATCTGAACTCATTGTATCTGGGAATAAGTTTAGGAGTCACTGCCACTTTATTGGTTCTTAATCCAGTAGCAAATCAAATCCAAATCCTTCTGAATCCCTCATCAAATCTATTCTGGCTCAGCTGTAACCCACAGATTATTATCAAGATACTCAAGATACTTTACTACTATCTTTCTTAAAAGAGAAAAAAAAAGAAGATGTAATTAATAAATGACTTATACATTTATAAGAATCCAAAAACATATAATTCCTTAAAACAGTTAAATATCAAGCAGTGGACACATGGAACTGGTTCAATATGTTTTTCAAAAAGTTAAGATTGTATTTGTTTACACAAGGATAAAACACTGTGACTTTCTTGTTTGCAAGAATCTTATGTTTGTTAAGTTTTCTGAAATGGATCCAGGAGCTTTTTCATCCCACAGTCACACAGTTTTATTTATCCAGTAGAGGATCCAATGTTATAACACAGTGGCTGACGAGGGTCTAACTAACTAAATAAATAAAATAAATTCTTTTTGTGCGTAAATCTATATCAACAAATAACAATTAAATGTGCAAATGAAAAACGTAAAAGTAAGAACTTGCAAGTTGGAAAAGTTAAACAACGTTGTTCTGTCTAAATACGTCTTGTGAACCTTGTTCCTCTCAGTCTGGGGACCGCTGGCTGAAGAGAAGGTATTTTATCAGCTTGGACCCAGATCTAAGCTGTAACCTGTGTTCAGAGTTCAACCCCACCACTAAAACTAAAGTACAGATCATTCCGCTGAGTTGTACCTGAGCTGATGATGGAGGGTCGAGGTTTGGCACATCGGCCCAGAGAAACCCCTCCAGCCGGCCCGGGCTCCGCCGTTCCCTCCCCCTTACAGTCCAGCTGCAGGGTGTGCTCTCGTCCTGGGATGGAGATGGACTTTGCCGTGCTGGGAGGCCTGCAGGAAGAGAAAACAAAACACATCTTATCAGTCTGGAACAAGATTAAATGAGCACACGGCTGCAGCTCTGCTTAGCTTGGCTCCACTCAGATGACTTTTATTGACCACGAGGAAACTGAGTCGCTGCAGCGACAAAGGACAGAGGAGAACAGAGGTTGTGCACGTTCAAAAAAACTGATTAAAAGGTTAAAAATATACAAAAAAAAATACCAAGGCAGCAATAAATACCTGCAGAAAACATGGTGCCTGACATGTAACTGTAATGACCAACATGGGACGAACAAATAAGATGCATCATTTTCCCAAAGTCCAGAATTTTTTCTTTTTTGTTTTTAACTAGGATCAAATATCAGAAAACACAAAATAGAAAAAACATAGAGCTCGAAAGTGACACAAGAAAAATCAAGTTTAAAACCTCCATAATAAAAGGATCGTAAAACATCTACGTTAGAAATCACGGTGACACAGAGAAACTTCCTCGACGTAAAGCTGAACTACTCACGTTTTAAAACACGGGTCTCCAGACAGGAGGGTCATCCCGATGATCACCTGTAAGCAACAAAAAGAATCTTTATGAACATCGGACGAACATCTCAGAGTCTTGAACGTGTCAAAGTCAAATATCAAGAAAGAGGATCTCTGAAAGAGTGGTTAATTCAAATCCATTTATCAAAATTTCTTTCTGATTCGACACGAAAAAAAAGATGATTTTTTCATTCCCACTGTTGTGAAATTGCTGCCCTTTTTGTGCAGCATCACTTCCTGTTTCCTCTACACCTGATTGTTTTCCTGCACGGCGGTTAAATCAACAGACTGAGAATGAAATCAAATCACTGTTTCTCTGTCCTTATCACAGAGTCCGATACTGCTGCAAAACCAAAAACAGCAGCTCAAACCCAATAAACTCAATAAACCACTGCCCTGTATTTGTGTTGCTGAGCATTAACAGTGAGCGTGTTTCAGCTACAGTCTGTTGGCTGCTTCACCAATAATAAAAAAAGTAGCTGGAGGGTGTCGGAGTAAATTCCCAGTAAGCTCACTGACGCATGAGCGACGCACAACTGCACAGTATTAAGACTTCCAGGGGGGAGTGAGATGGCAAAACTGCTCAGGACTTTTTTCTTGGCTTCATTAAAATAAAGAGCAGTTTGGGCCGATGGTCACCGGGCGGCGCTGCTGAGCTCCTGAGCTCCTTCACCCACAGAGGAATTTAACTGATTCAGCTGCTCGTGTCTTATCAACACAGATGGATAAATGGTGATTTTCCTGTGGTGCAACTAACAATTTTTTTTCAAATATCAGTAAATCTATTGATTATTTTCCTCAATCAACTGGTTAAACTTTTCATCTAAAACATATATGACTTCAGCAAGCCTTGTATTGTTGTTTTTGTCAAGCTAACAGTAAAAAAAACCTAAAAATATTCAGTTTACTGTCACATGAGACAAAGAAAGGCAGCAAACCCTCAAAGTGAGAGGCTCGACAGAGGGAATCACAAATAACAAATCAATTAATCGACCACTAATTCATCTCCGGGTGGAACTACAGGAGTAAAATATACTTTCATTTTCTCACAGAGACCAAAAGCCCTTCACCGGTTTAACAGGACAAAAGGACGACGCATCTCCGACGTCTCCTCTCTGGCTGCTTCTGACTGAATTTATGAAGTGGAAACAATCAATGAAAAAAGGTCAAGGGTCAAAGGTCATAGTCTCAAGAGTTAATGATCAACTTTGCTTCAGGCACCAGAGCCTATAAAATTTATGACATTAAAATTCCATTTTTTTTTTAATTCCGCAAGGGCAAGGCTTTTAATTTGAAATGTTTTTCAGATTACGCTCTCTCCCTTTCCCCTCACAGTGATGAAATTATAAAATTCAATTTCTTCTTCTTCTTCTTTTCTGCTTTTTTTTCACGGCACGAGCTGCGTATTCCTTCCTCGAACACCCGTGTCCTTGCCTTCAGTATGGAGTTGTCCTGCCGTGTGTTCTTGGTGTCGTATCCCTCCAGCAGGCAGCAGCGCACGGTGGAGCCAGAACCAGCGAACTCCGCCATGTTGAGGTCCGTGAAGCCCAGCTGAGGGTGAAGAGCAGAAGACGGTTAATTGAAGACTCGCTGATGGAGGGCCTCGTTTATTTCTGGCACTTATTTCTGCAACGCCCATCAATTAGCGCACGGAGCGGACGCACGTCGTAAACCTCACAGGCTTTTTGAACGTCAAACCAGACCGACAGTGAAGCCTGTACTTTTATTTATTTTTTTTAAATGAAGAGAGAAAGAAACGGAGGGAGCAGGTGAACAGTTGGAGAGCTCGCATGTCTGTGGGTGGACAGCTTGTAGTGCCGCGGTGATTTAACCGCTTACAGCCTCAGTGACCTGAGTTAATTAAAAACACGGGAGGACGGCCAGAGGAAGACGGACGGTCTCCCGTTTGGAAACGACTGAACGGATGAAATTATAGTCTTCACACCCATCGGCTCGTATCTGTGCGTACAACACCTCTCCGTCTCTCCATTTATCCGTCCAAAATACAATCAATAGCCTCACTATAACGTTAGAAAATAAGCAGGAGAAAACAGTGACTGAGTGACAGAGAGAGAGAAGAAGAAAAACTAAACCATAGCTCTGCTTGGTCTGTATTTCACTGTGGTCACTTACAACATAGAATTATATAGAATAAAACTGAAAGCCTCATTATGTTGTTAGAAAAACGGCAATACATAAAAGTGAAGGAGAGAAAGAATCACAGAAAGAGGGACGAGAGTAAAAAGAAACTCTTTCCTTTGCACTTAATTAAATTACAACTGTGGCTATTTTTCTTGTGCATGATGTGATTCAATTTATTCCAATTTAATTTTAATTTCATTCAAAGGCAGATGTCAAAAAAAAAAAAGGATGGGAGAGATGCACACTCATGACTCCTGACACTTATTTTAACTGATAAACTAATAAAGGTCAACATGTCAGCAAACTGCCTTCTTCACAAAAACTTAAACTCGTGTCGCATCAAAGCTGTCGTAATTACAAATTTCAGACTTGTGAATAGAGTTTATGTCAACTTCCAATTTGTAATTATAATTGGGAAGTTTGAATTGAATCCAAATGTAAAGTGTAGATTTAATCATATGAACATCTCGGTGACGTCGTTAAAACAAAGAGTCCTCGACTTCCCTCGTCTAAAACCTGAGTTTAATCTGAAGGCACCATCATTCTTGGAGCCTATAAAAAGATGAAATGGTCCGAGCATGTGATTCTGCACAATTTGAAAGCCTCTGACCTACTAAGTGTAGGTGAGAGGTTTCTCCACAGCCCCAGATAACGCTGATAAGTCGGCTTTTATCTCTAAAACAAACCTCGCAGCCTCTCGCCGTGTGGAAACGGCCTTTGTCTGAGCAAGTGTCTGTGATGTTATTTTAAATTAACTCTCTCCAGAGAAAGGTTCCCATTCTCCGTTCTCCGGGTTTCCCTTTCTTTATTGGGAGTGGGGGTGGGGTGGGGGGGGGGGGGGGCGAGCTTCTGTTTTCATAGGTGTGTATTTAAAAAGGAAGCCGACTTCTAAGGAGGGAAGCGAGGTAAATTTAGCTGGAAGGAAATCTAAAAGGAGAACAGGGCGAAAAAACAGAGGAAACTGTTCCTGTTGGGCAACAACGTCCACGGGAGGCGAGAGGCGTTCATCTCCGCGAGGGGGTTCGACCTTGGCAGTCTCATTCACGAAACATGACTCATCTCGTCAGGAGCCGCTACCGCGGCGGCTCGAGAGGTGTTGGCAGGATGTTTTGCAGATTCCGGGCAAATGTGAGAAGTTTTTTTTTTTTTTTTTTGATTAACGTTCGTGTCCGGCCGGCGGCAGGCCCTCGTCAAAGCGCTGCGAGAAATGCTAATATTTACACGACGTAGCATTAAGGCCGACACGAGCTCATCTGTAACTGTTACTGTGTGTTTATGAGGGCGAGAGGTGAGGCGGCCGAGAAGGAGACACAAGCTCTTACCTTCGTGTACGCTTTTCCTCCTTTCAGCTCCTGCAGGGGAAAGAGAAAAACAAAAACAAAAAAACAAAACAGGAAGACAGTGATGAACCAAGTGATTCAACCGATCCAAACTTTATATTCGGCCTCCAATTACAGGGCCCCGACGACAGGGAGCAAATTAAAGAGCGGGACTGCGGCGTTCACATGGGAGATTTAGCATCAAGTCTGCATTTTTCTGAGAAACTCTCCAAACCTCTGGATGCAGTCTGTACATTTTGTTTTTGGTACATAAAAGGGTATCGTTTTATATTTATGTTCTTCCAAGTCAGCTCTAGAAATCATTTCATACAAAACTCTTCCCAAAAGGCGCCGATTTGGTAAAACTACACGTCCCGGTTTGGACGAGTCTACCAGGGTTTCTGCAGGTGTTTTCCGAGGGGAGGGGGGTTTAAAAGAGTTTCCTTTAGATGTTTAGGTTACATATAATTATGGGTTAAACATAATTTAAATGACTATGTGAGGTAGGTCCTGTCTACTTGGTTAATCTAGACATCCACAATATTACAGCAGCAACAGTCAGTCCATTAATCTATTTTGATAATTGATTAAAAGCAATTCTTCAAGCAAAAAAAAAACCCAAATATTTAATGGCTCCAGGTTCTCAAATATAAGAATTTGCAAAATAAGACTTTAACACATCAAACGATTAATCAATTACTGAGGAAAATAAATAGCAGTTTGATCAGTGATGAAAAGAATCATTAGTTGGTGCAGATTCGGATTCCCAGACTTTCTAAGACATTGTTATTGATTTTAAATTTATCTCTGAACTCGAGGAGGACGATTTGAGAGTCGTACCTTCCTGACTGACACCCTGCACACAGAAGGATCCAGGACGCCGGTGTGGGGGTTGGCGCTCATTTTCGACACGAACGTGAACCTCTTCCTCCAGCGAACGCAGTTTTCTTGAACCTCCTCTCTGCAAGGAGAAAAAAAAAACAAACACAAAAGACAGGAACACATAAGTCTTTGTTTTCTGCTTACTCCTCACTTCCTGAGCTCCAGACTTTGGTTAATGGTTAATAAGACTCAGATTTTCTATTAGCTGAGACGATAACCGACAGTGACGGTCAAACATATTATGTAAAAGAGCATTAAAAATACACAGACCGGGACATTTAGGTCAAACCCAAACATTCTTGGCAGCTTCTAATTCAGATTCCCTTTATTCTCCCACTTCAGAACAACACATTTTTTCCAGTTATGTCATGACTATCTCACAGCCTCGTGACCGGTGTGTCCACTGAGGATCAAATTTATCTGGACAACACTGAGAAAACATGTCATGAGCAAGGTTTTCCAAAACTAACTGGATTTCAGAGCAGATTCCCATGGCTTTTGTTCTTCACTTCGCTCCTGTAGTAATTTAGCGGGTGGATGCAGCCGCTCATGTGACCTCACACTCGTCATTATCCGCATGTAAACTGGTTCGTCTCTCAGGATTTTCCCCTCCTGCTTTACTGACAAGAAAAACCTCTCAAGGAAACAAGTCCACAATGGTCCCCAGGCCTCTGTGAAAACACGGTTTGCCTCGTCAGAAATGTCAGTGGAAAACCGTTAAGTATCCGCACATCCTGGTTAACGTGTGGGAACACAGCAGTTTGTGTGAAAACAGACCGGGTCACTGATCTGTTTGTTTCTGAAAACAAAAGCTGATGTGAATGGCAGTTTGACGAAGTCCAAAGACATGTCACAGAAACACAGAAGCAGCGGCTCGAGAAAGAAGCAGGAATGTAGGTTTGTGTTGCAAGGACCTAAAAAAAGATGCATCCTAATTCGTTTAATAAAAAACTGGTGACATGTATCGAGTTGCTAAAACGAGACTCCCATCAAAATCTAATTTTCTGCTGCCCTACATGTTACAGCTGAAACAGCTGGTGATTTAATCAGTTAAAAGGTTAAATACTTATTGGATTGACAGAAAAATAACATTTAAAGCTCCATATTTTCTTCTTCTTCTGTGTTTTATTTGACGTGTTGATCCATAAGAAGATATAAAAACCATCTCAGTGTAGTTTTACATCTCCTCTCTCAGGCTTCTCTCTGGAGCTCTAGTAACAACAGGTCGGTGAGCCAATCAGAAGAGAGGAGGCTCTGAGCCTCTCTTCTGATTGGCTGACTGTTTTCTGAGTGATCCAATAAAAATATATGATTTCAGGTAAAAACACTCAGAGAAACCAAATCCTGTGAAGGTTTGGATGGTGGGTCCAGGTGGGCGGGGCTTGGTGACTGCTTTGTTGTGACATCACAAAGTTCCAGAAGTCCTGACGGCTGGTTTTAAGGCTCAGTTTCTGAATACAGGCTGTGTGCATTTCTCTGTGGACTGAGGCTTTGATACTTTCACAGTATTAATATAGAAGCTAGAGTTGATCTATAATCACACTACACATGGACAGAGACCTTTAGACTGGAGGAGCTTTAACTATTTTGATATTCTGTTTATTTTCCAAACAAAACATTTTTATTAAACTTTCCTGCGTTCCCCCTTCGCCAAATGTGAGGATTTTATATTTTTCTTTGTCCTATGAGACATTTATCTTCATTCTTTGGGTTTTGTGCTGCTAGTTGAACTAAACAAGCAGTTTAAAGATGTCGCATTGGGCTTTAGGGAACTGTTTTACTAACTCTGACATTTTAAAATGGAGAAAATAATTAGCAATAATGAAAATAATCATGAGCTGCATCCCTACTCTTTTTGCATTTTAGAGCAGGACGTGTCTTTTCCGTTGATCTCTCAAACATTCAAAGTCAAACACTGAATTTAGCCTGAATTTAGAACAATTTGGCCTCGCTGGGTCGCTACAGAGCAGAATCAGCTCTGAATAATAATTTTCAATAATTATGGCCTTGATTTTAAAACAGTCAAAAAATATTCCATCATGTTCATTCTACTGGAAAACAACACGGGACACTATAATAGCTGTTGAGATATTTCAGGCTGGAGTACAGTGGAGGACACAGAGCCAAAGTGCTAACAAGGCTAAAAGTGAGTTTGTCGCTGTGAGCAGCAGTGATCCTACTGGGTTATTTTTAGTTAATTATAAATGTCCGTGATGCTAAAACAGGGAGACGCTCAAGAAAACAAAGTTAGGATGTCTCAAGTTGGTACGTACCAATTACAGCTGAGAAAAATCACTAGAAAGTCATTACCTGCAGGTTAGTCTTCATTATTTCTAAGTTATGAGAATCTACACTGTTCTGTGAATGACCATCATTTTGTCAACCACACATTTCAAGTTAAACACCGTCTTGTCAAAGAGCCTCATAATTACTGTAAACGCTCCATCAGTCACTAGAGAAAGAGGAGGAAAAAAAGTATTTTTCCGCCTCCTCGATGGCAAACGGCTCGTTTTGGAAACTTTCACTGGACCCGGTCCAACGTCGTGCCGAGGAGACGTAGTAGATCAACTGAACAGCCAAATGTTTCTGGAGTCACTTAAAACTGCGAGACGCCTCCTTAATTGCAGCACATATAAATCACACGCTTCATGGCGGGGTGTGATCGCACTTCAGATGTGAAGGTGGGAAGTTTTATCAAAAGAGAGATTACAGCGCTGAGGAGATATCTTTATAGCAGCTACGTTAGAGCATCAAGTTTTTATTATTCCTTTTATTATTATTTCAATTATTCCTCCAAATCTAAAACAAAATGGAGATACAAAGGAAAAGAAAACATTAAAAAAACATTAAAGAAACATTCAGTCAGTAATCTAAAGACAGAGTAAATAAATAAAACTCAATAAATGTGTCAACATGAGAAACATGAATGCGTTGTGTATACAGAGTTTCACCAAACAGATGATGTTTAGCTGCTATCGCCACATCAACAGTCATCAGCACGTCAGGAAGGAAGGGAAGGTTTTCCATCGCAGACGCAGATCAGAGAACGAAATGTACAATCCGAGCTCCCACTCTTTGATTAATGAAGACATTTTTATTTTAAATTCCCGGTCCTGAAGTTTATCCTCCGGAGGTCATGGAGTGGTGAGAATCAGAATGAGCGATGACGATAAATGTGCTCAGCAGATTTAATATATATATATATTTTATGCATTTTTGTAAAAAACAAACAGAAATTTAAAGCTCCATATTTTCTTCTTCTTCTGTTTTTTATTTGACATGTTGATCCATTATAAGATATAACCATCTCAGTGTAGTTTTACATCTCCTCTCTCAGGCTTCTCTCTGGAGCTCTAGTAACAACAGGTCGGTGAGCCAATCAGAAGAGAGGAGGCTCTGAGTCTCTCTTCTGATTGGCTGACTGTTTTCTGAGTGATCCAATAAAAATATAGCAGATTTCAGGTAAAAACACTCAGAGAAACCAAATCCTGCAAGGTTTGGATGGTGGGTCCAGGTGGGCGGGGCTTGGTGACTGCTTTGTTGTGACATCACAAAGTTCCAGAAGTCCTGACGGCTGGTTTTAAGGCTCAGTTTCTGAATACAGGCTGTGTGCATTTCTCTGTGGACTGAGGCTTTGATACTTTCACAGTATTAATATAGAAGCTAGAGCTGATCTATAATCACACTACACATGGACACAGACCTTTAGACATGTGAGACCTGGTTCACATCAAAAGTTCACGACTGTCTGAGCTTAAGTTGTTGAAAAATCCAGCTATGGAAAAAAAAAGTGTCGGTACGATCAGCTCATCAGATCGATTATATTTACATTTACTCCTTTGACAGATGCTTTAATCATAAACTACACAACCAGAGTCCTCCATCCTCCACTCCTGCTGCCAGGAGGAAACGTAATTAATGCAGCTACAATCATCATAGTATGATTCAATCTGAATGTCAGCATTGTTTGTGTAGTTGTGTCGTTACTACAGTTTTTAAGGTTTGCTGTGTGAGACAGAAGGTGCAAATGACACATGTACAACACAAACACAGTCTGTAGTACAAACTAGCAGCAGCTGCTCCTCACACTCCCCTCCCCCCCCTCATCTAATTCACCATTATCCACCGTCTCTCCACAATGTGCTGTGTGATTTCTACCACGTTATTCCTCTTCCTTCTTTCTCTTCCTCCAACCACGTCAGATCATTTCACAGTTTTATGTGGCTTTGCTTTGGTTGTGCAATGAGTGAATTTACACATTTTACTATTAAAATCCTGAACATTAAAGCTTTTTAATGCAATTAAACATCTTTCGCTGAGGACACCTTTGGTTATTTATTGTCAGGTGTTGTATTAAACATGATTACAGCCTGTTAAAGACAGTAAATACAAAATATTAACAGGTCACCTTGTTGTTTTAGTCTCAGTTTTCTTTCTTATTTGCCTTTTTATGGAGCTAAAATGAAAACCAATGAAAGTTCTGTTAGAAGAGTAAGTAAAAATACTAAATATTTGCTTGATTATAGCTTTTTAAATAAAGTTTTACTTCTTACTTACTACTTACTGAATATTTAGGGTTTTTCTGACTGTTGTTGGGACAAAAATGAGCAACTGAGTCACTTTTGGCTCTTGCAACTTGCACTGTGTTATTTGTTTTGACATTTCTTGACAAAATGATGAATCAAAAAAGCTGATATATCAATCCCTGTTCCTGCTGTTGCAACTAGGAGCTTGCTTAATCAAAAATCCTACAACAAGATTAAAAAACCAAAACCAAAAAAAGACAGAAATCATGTCATAAACCTTCTTTAACTTTAAACTAAACTCCTGCTCCTGAAGAAACACTTTAGAGAAAAGAGGTGAAACTCTCCTCCTGGCTTTCCCCCCTCGTCCATCTATCCCTGGAAACAAATGAGCTTCTCAGAAGAGTAGAACCACAACAACGCACACGCTCTCTCAGCTCTTATCAGGAACCCCCCCCCCACCGCCATTGGTTCTCCAGTGTGTAACGGGGAGCGTTCCCAAACCGCATTCCTCAGTCCAGATGGCTTTGTTCAGGCTCCATGGAAACCGCACACT